TTGCGGGGAAAATACATAAAATCATTAGCATGACATGAAAAACCAAAAGGCGTGAAGATCTTAACAAAATAAAAACAGAAATGAAGCAGAAAATAAAAGAGAACACAGCACAATAAAGTCCTCTCTGAAACCACACCACAGGCTTGATGCAACTTGAAGAAGGAGTAGCTGTAGCATTCTCTAATCTCAGATCATCCCCATCACTGCACCCCTGCCAGTGCCAAACCTGGCCTCAGGCCGGACCCATGTGGAAACACAAACACAGGCTGAGATTACCTTGACATATGGATGCAATGAAAGGAACTGTTGCCAGGTAGAGGTCAGAAGCTATCCCAGACCTGCACCTGCTGAGGCACGCAAACACTGGCTCCCACAGGCACCATCTGCCAATGTCCAATGGCCAGGACCTCCTTCTGGGAGGCAAAGCAGAGAACCATGAGGAAATTCCCCCACCTTCACAAAGCTGCCCATCAGCTCAAATAAAGAAGAGCAGCTGGGGAGTCTGAAAAAAGGACATGGAAGAAAAAACAGCTTTTCCGTTCTACTTCAGAACAGCCACAAGCAGTGAGCCTGATGCCTTGGCACAGTTTTTTTCTAATTGCTTTGGGTGACCCTCAGGTTTAGAACATACCTCCTGGGCCCGGCACGGTGGTGCAAGTGGTTAAGGTCCTCGCCTTGCACGCCCAGGATCCCATCTGGGCGCCGGTTCTATCCCGGCAGCCCCACTTCCCTTCCAGCTCCCTGCCTGTGGCATGGGAAAGCAGTCGAGGACAGCCCAAAGCTTTGGGACCCTGCACCCGCGTGGGAGACCTGGAAGAGGCTTCTGGCTTTGGATCGGCATAGCATCGGCCGTTGCGCTCACTTGGGGAGTGAATCATCGGACGGAAGATCTTCCTCTCTGTCTCTCCTCTCTGTACATCCGCCTTTCCAATAAAAACATAATAAAAATAAATCTTTAAAAAAAAGAACATACCTCCTGTGACAGGTTCTTCATCAGATGAAATTACTTCAGCCTCTCTTTCAAACTGAAAACAGGCACCTGTAATATATGAAGCCTCACATGGAAGCTTGAGTAAGAACGAAGACATGCAAGGTGGGTATTCAGCAGGGCAGTTAAGCTGCAGTCTGGATGCCTGTTCATCTGTTGAAGTGCCTAGAACTGAGTCCCAGTTCTACCACCAACTCCAGCTTCCTGCTAATGCATACTGTGGAAGGCAACAGATGATGGTTCCAGTATTACGGTCCCTGCTATCCATATGCAACACCCATATGCAGTCCCTGGTCTGTCCTGGTTTTAGCTTGGCCAAGCTCCATGAATTATGAGCATATGGAGAGTGAATTTAATAAATAAAAAACCTGTATGTCTGTACCCCTGTGTCTCTTCCTGCCTCTCCTCTCTCCCTGCCTTTCAAAGAGGCAAGGAAAGAAGTATTAAGGTATCTAGTGCTAAAGGGTCATGATACACTTGTGTATCCTCAAAACAGTTCACAAAACTCTACTCTGCTTATATGTGGGACGGAACGGGGGAGTTCATAAAACAAATATAGCTATATTTAGCAACAGCACAAAGAGGGGAAACTGTATGCAGGTGTTCCTAATACTTTCTTGTCTGTGATTTTAAAATTATTTTCAAGTAAAAACATGCATTATGGGCCCAGCGCAGTAGTCCACTGGCTAAGGTCCTTACCTGGAATGCACCAGGATCCCATATGGGTGCCAGTTCTAATCCCAGCCACCCTGCTTCCCATCCAGCTCCCTGCTTGTGGCCTTGGAAAGCAGTGGATGATGGCCCAAAGCCTTGGGACCCTACACCCGTGTGAGAAATTTGGAAGAGGTTCCAGGCTCCTGGCTTCGGACTAGCTCAGCCCCAGCTGTTGTGATCACTTGAGGAGTGAATCAACGGACAGAAGATCTTCCTCTCTATATATCTGACTTTCAATTAAAAATAAAATAAATCTTTAAAAAATGCACTCTACCCTCCCTCTAATGGCATTCTCCTGAATTGCGAGGCCTCAGCATCCAGAGTACTAAGCCTTACTGATCTGACTGATATCTCCTTCACAGGCAACGCATCCATCCGACCCCACAAACCAGTGCTTTCTCATACCTTACACAGGTGGTCTGAACTACCTGTTGTACCACCTTGCCCCTAACAATCCAAACTTCCAACAATTCTACTCACTGGGCTGTCCTCCTAGATGCCTAGAGGTTCTTCAAACAAAAGCAAAGCAGACTCAAGGCAAAGCTTCCAGATCTGAGGACAGGCAGGCAAGGCCATGGGGCCCAATTCAATCATGAGGACATTCCCCTAGCCTCACTAGATGGCCCATCACTCCAGGAGACCCCCATCTCCTACCCTTCAACTTCACCAGTAAAGAGCCCACTCAGGTGGAAGGGAATGGAAGGGAAACAGAAAAGAACCAACGATTTATTTCACACTCCAAACCACCCACACTGAAAGAAAATGGGTGCTTTCAAAAAGACAAGACAAAGATACGAACTGTGAAAAGGAAAAGGATAGTGTGACATTCTACTGTTTCAAGCACAGATCTTGCTCTCACACACTGCACAAATGGATGTCACAGTTTTAGGTCTCTATTTGCATGTTTCCAGCACATATTCTGCTGACTGAATGACCATCTGGTCAGGCTCAGGATCCATTAGTCTATACTTATTCAATCTGTTACTTCCGCACTCTGCAATACAACAGCTGCAGACTGTCAGAGCCCACCTCCTCAGGGAATAAGACAGGCTCAGGTTTATACCAGAAAACCACTGTGGCAGATTGGGTAAAGCCACCACCTGCGATGCCCACATCCCATGTGATCACCATTTGTGTCCTGATGCTCCACTTTTGATCTAACTCCCTACTAATGGACCCTGGAAAGAGCAAAAGCTGATGGTGCAAGTGCCTGGGCCCCTGCAACCCACCTGGGAGACCTGGATGGAGCTCCTGGCTCCTGCCTGGTCTAGGAATGACCGCTGCAGTAATCTGGGGAGTAAAGTAATAGATGCAAGATTCTCTGTTCCTCCCTTTTGGTAAAAAATATATATATATATATATATATATATATATATATATATATATATTTAATATATAATATATATATTTAATATATATATATATTTAAAAAGTTTGGCAATGTATTTAAAAACTGTAAAACTTTCTCAGGAATTTCATCCTGTAAACATTTAAGGAGAATCATTTTAAGATATCACAGAAATTTGGTAATTTTCAAAATTTTAGATGACCCAACTGTTTTTTACACATTTGTTTAAGTGAAAGAGTGACAAGGGGATAGAGACATCTTCCATCCTCTGACTCACTCCCCAAATACATACAACAGCTAAGGCTCAGGCAGGTTCAAGCCAGCAGCCAGGAACTCCCTGCAGGCTCCCCTACAGCATACAAAAGGCTGAAGCACAGGTGCCATCACCTGGAGCCTTCCCATTAACATGAAACTGGATCACAAGTACAAGCAGTCTGAGCACAGGAAGCATGAGATGCTGGGCCCTAAGCAGGAGCCTGCCCCATTCTCAGTGTCCACCACCATGAGTCATGGTGCCAGGCCCTAAGCAGGAGCGTGGCCCACTCTCCCACAGTGGTCACCCCTATGATTCATGATGTCGGGTCCCAATGTCCATCACTAAAGTCCCAAACATTCTGAAGTAATGCAGTTCTGGCCCTCTCCATCTTCAGGTGCTTCCTACCTAATACAGCTGAGTGCTCACTCCTCAGTATGGACTGATTGGCTATATTAAGTATGGAGTCATCCTCTGCCGTCAGATTCCAGTCAGAGGGCATCCGACCACCAGATCTGGATTGTGTCCCAGCTCTTCACATCTGTATGAAATGCAACCTCAGTGTCATAGATAATAGCCTTAACAGCATGGATTAACCCAAAAGAAGATGGTGCTAAAATTTATTTGAACTTTTTTTAAAAAAAAAAAATCAATTACATGGGTCTGGCACAGTAGCCTAGTGGCTAAAGTCCTCGCCTTGCACATGCTGGGATCCCATATGGGTATCAGTTCTAATCCCAGCAGCCCTGCTTCCCATCCAGCTCCCTGCTTGTGGCTAAAAATGTAGTTGAGGATGGCCCAAAGCCTTGTGACCCTGAAGTCGCATGGGAGACCCAGAAGAAGCTCTTGGTTCCCGACTTCAAATCAGCTCAGCTGCAGCCATTACGGCCCTTTGGGAAGTGAATCAGACGGAAGATCTTCCTCTCTGTCTCTACTTCTCTATGCATATCTGACTTTCCAACAACAACAAAAATCTTTTTTAAAAAGCAATTACACCAACTATTTATTCCGAGTGCTTTTTTCCCCTGTGAATTTTTTTTAACACATCACTTTAGTTTTCTAGCCATACTCGATGTCCAGCCATCTGATCCATCTTCCATCTGTTCCATCTTCACAGAAAGCACCAAGATACAGAATCAGAAACCAGGGAAGAGCTACCGCCACTCCATGCTGGTGAACATGAAGAGCTGGTAGCAGATCATCTGGCACATTTCGCAGCATTTATGAAACCATCACACAAAGTTGCAACCTCTAAGTGATTTTCCCTAAAATACCCTCTAAAGAAATAGTTACAGATAAACACTTACACATAAACACATTCACGTTAATATCACGTGAAAACTAGGAAGCAACCTACATGACCAACAACACTGGCTGCCTCTCAGCAAGGACATCAGCTGGGGGAAGACAAGACAGCAACGTCTAACGTCTAGTAGGCGGATCATGTTTCAAGTTATTCATTCAGAAACACAACTAAACTTAAAAATAAGTACATGAACTAATTATCAATCACTTTGGAACAAACATCTAATATGCATTCCTCTAGTCGAACAGCCGACTCTGTTAGGGAAGCAAAAAACAAATGGCAGGGTTCCGCAGGGTGATGCCTTCATCTTTTATAAAGGAGAAAATACTCTTTGGCAAAGCATAGCCAGGTTTTAGTCTCCTTTGGGATTTTATCAAGATGTGCAATCTACTGAGGGGCCCAGCTCTGACACGTGCACTCCATAGTCAGATCATGGGACCTGCAATTCTCCATGGCTGGGGTTCCGAGTCCAGCAATTCAATTGGGGGGATCGCCATAGAAGCTTCATCTGAGGTGATCTCAGACCCGATTCTTGTGTGTGCTTGCCAAATGACTTAGATGGAGCAGTGGAAACATTCAGGTGCACATGGAGGATATGGCAATACACTGGAGTCTGCAGAGGACCCCTGGTACCATCACAGAGTCTCCCCACTTCCCCCAGATACAGGTAGGAAAAAGAATGTGGAAATGGTGATCTCACCCACCTTCCTGTAACCCTTAGCCCTTAACACCCTAATCAACTATGTAAAAATCATCAAAAATAAAAATTAATAATTTTTAAAATATGTGCAATCTGCCTATTCCCTTAATCATTTGTATCCTCCTCCAGGGTCCAGAGCCTCAGGCTTCCTTCTCCTTTCTCTACCATTTCACATACAAAAATGTAAACACCATCCTCATATCCTCATAGGAGCATGCATGCACGTGCACACACGCACACACACACACAGAATTTTTCATTAGTTCATGCATTGATGCAGTCAGTTCTGGCAGATCTCTTCTTGTTGATTCTAATTTTCAAAAGTTTCACTACAGCCAACTAGCTCGAGTTTTGAAATCATGTATATCACATCTTCCCCGCATGGAAGGAACAGCAGCTGCACTTCCTGGAAAATGTGCCACTGACTCAAGGTGCCTGTCACAGAGTCATCCTATCAGGCCTGTCAGCACTGTGCTACTGTAAAAAATATTAAATCTCCTTAGCTTATCTTCACTGCAGTGACCTACGTACTTCAGTACTGGCTGATACAGCTATTACAGACACACACCGAAGCTTGCTGCACTGTACAAGGCAATACAACACAGTACTCACACAGCACCCCAATACACAAAAGGTTCCCAATGTCAGCTGCCTGTCCCTTTTCTTCAAAGTTGCCCTATTCTAGAAAACAGCACGCCTGTCCCAATTCCAGTGGCTCTACAGATTCTGACACAGATCCTCAGTGAGCCAGCCCATCTTGTGCCCTGAAATCCAGCCAAGTCAATTTCCTTGACAGAAGGGTACACTCCAATCTTTTCCTTTTCATCCCACAGTGGGATCTAGCTAATCCAGTCATGTTAATTTCTAGGTCTCAAAGGGGCAAGAATTTCTGACTATTCAGAAGCCACACATTTTCAGCATCTCTGTCTCTCACAAAGACAAACACACACACACACACACACACACACACACACACACACACACACACACACACTCAAAAGCAGGTTCCCTAAAACTGAAAAGATTGATGAAAGGCATTTTGCCCAGAGCCTTCTCACATAGAGCCAAATAACCCAGACACACAAGGATAAAGGCTGCACAAAGCCTTTTAGAAAGTGCCCGCACGGAAGCACCAGCAGCGGCGTCACTCATTTGACTGGCCAGAGGCCTGCCAGAGAAGGCGTCGGTAATTCAGTGGCCTGGGGATGTGCCCAGTCATGGAGGAGGGCAGAGGAAAAGGCACTGCTTTTGTGTTGCTGCCGCCAAACCAATGATTTCCAAAGGCCTGAGCTGCAGCATCGCAGCAGTATGGCGCCAACAGGGCTTCTGTGCAGGTGGCACAAGGTCTGCTGCCCACTGCTTTCACACCCCTACATTATGTACATCAGGTCAGCAGAAGGCCCAGGAAAAAGTAAGATTTTTCTCCAATCAGTCAGGATTTAAAAGAGCTAACAGAAACTGAATTTATTCTTTAACTCATTAACAATTCAAAGCTGCGCAGACAGAGGGACGGAGAAATTGCTATCTTACTTGGGGGCGCTTAAAATCACCAAACAGTGTGAACTGCAGTGAACAGACTGCTTGGGGGAGGGACGGGCGTGTGGTTTCCTGCCAAAAATATAGCCATTGTTGTTATTTATCACAACACAGTATTTTTTTTTGCCATTTTAATTGTCAACAACATCAGCTGGCTATGTTGTAAAAGGCAGCACAGTTTTCAGCAGAGCCTGGCCAGTGTACCACGGGTCAAAAACTGAGCCAGTGACAAGGGGCTAGAACAGAGGCATAGTGGGCTGAGCTGCAGCTTGTGACACCCGCATGCTGTACCAGCACACCCTTGCCACTCTGTTTTTGATCAAGTTCTCTGTTAACGTGACAGAGCACAGCAGCGCGAAGGCCCGAATGCATGGGCCACCACTGTTTGCATAGGAGACATGGATGAACTTCTGGGCTTCTTGCGTCAGGCTGGCTCAGCCCCAGCTACTGCAGCCATTTAGGGAGTAAACCAGTGGATAGAAGGATGAAGATCTATCTGTGTGTGCGTCGATGTCCCCACCATATTGTCACTCCACCTTTTACATTAACTCATAAAAAGAAAATTAAGCAACCAAAATTTCACTAATATAAAATACTAATATTTTATTTCTTCAATTGGATGCAATTACTAGGGTCCCTATTCCTTCAACGCCGCACAGCTCCCTGACCAAGTGGTATCAGAAAAGCAGGGGCAGCGTAGCAACTTACTCTTATTGAACACTATTACACAGTAGAAATGTAGGAAAAATGGCAGAACAAGAAATGAAGCATGGACACGTCCAACAGCATGGACGGAAGCATTACATAAGCGAGAGATGTAGACACAGATCATGTGGCAGTCGGTTTTTGCTCACTTAAGAACTTTCCAGTACAGACAAGTCTCATTCATAGATGCAGAAGTGTGGCAGCGCCAGCAGGGGTTCAATGGCCTTCTGGTGGGATAAAAACAAATGACCACCAGTGGGTAGGAGGGGTTTTCTTTCAAGTAAGGAAACCTTTTGTAAAACTGACTGGTGATGGCTGTGCAACTCTGAGTGTACTTAAGATTACTCAGTGGTTTACTGAAAAAGGCACACTTTCAATAGGTGGGTTGGACAATGTGTGAACTATATTTAACAAAACTGATTTTTATAAGTGACAATAAGAATGCAACTCTCACACAGCCATGCACACAAATCAACCGCAGCATCTTAATTACACACATGCTTAATGCCATTCCTTCAACACCTAACCCTTAGTTACTGGATCTTTTAAGACCTCTAGATTTTAGACCAAATTTATCATGCCTAAATATCACCTGTGGGTTTTATCAAGATGGAGATTATGTTTCCCTAAGTCTGAAGCAAGGCCTGAGAGTCTGCATGTTTAGTGCACTTAAGAGAGCACTGAACTGTGACAGGGCCTGGCACAGTAGCCTAGTAGCTAAAGTCCTCACCTTGCACACACCAGGATCCCATATGGGAGCTGGTTCTAATCCTGGCTGCTCCACATCCCATACTGCTCCCTACTTACGGCCTAGGAAAACTGCAGGAGATGGCACAAATCCTTGGAACCCTGCACCTGCATGGGAGACCCAGAAGCTCCTGGCTCCTGACTTCGGACTGGCTCAGCTCCAGCCTTTGCAGTCACTTGGGGAGTGAATCATTCAACAGAAGATCTTCCTCTCTCCATCTCTCCTCCTCTCTGTATATCTGACTTTCCAATAAAAAATAAATCTTTCTTTTTTAAAAAAAAAAAGTGGTCTGTGACAGCCCAGACAAAAAGGCTATGCATGTATATGGACAGATCCCATATCCCAAGTACTAAGCACTAACCAGAGCTACTACACAAAATGCCACCAGAAGCCACATCTGGGGGCACTGTTGCAAAGGGTTCCACCTCTATCTTCCTTAAACAAGAAAGGAGATGGAGAGGTAATGCCACCACTGAAGCGAACAGCCAGCTGTCCCCACACACAGGCAGGCCACAGCCTTGTCTTCCCACCAGCTGCTGCTGAGGGTGCTCCTACCAGCCACCTGCACGCTCGGACATCTCATCCGTACAAGTGGATCCCACACTATCAGCTATTGACTATACAAATGGGGAAACAATGAGGGATGTGCAAGGGAATTATATAAACTAAGTACTACAGCATGATCAGAGAAGAATACTGATAGAGGCAAGATGTCATTCCAAGTTCCCTACTGCATCCCCAAAATATATATGAAAAGCTGGGCAGACTCTGAGGGCCAGCAGTCCCTGAAGCCTGTCTCTACAGCACTGAAGGTGGAAGTCAAGGCCATATCCACTGCATACCGCGCCCTGAGCAAGGCCAGTTCCGAAAGGAAGAAGGCTGAAGTGGCCCGAGTTGGCCAGACACACTATGAGAGCAGTAAAGACTTCAGTCCACTTCTTAGAAATCCACCCTTTTGTTAATACATGATATATCTTAAATATGGAGACAAGGATTAGGCTGTAAACAAGTTGAATAATAACATTAAATTTTGCTGGATAATGAAAAAAAAAAAGAGAAATCCACCCTTTCCTTGTGAGGACTCCAGTGGGAGAGCATGAACTTGGTACTGGACAGCTGTGCTTACCAGTCAGAGTCTCAGATACCCAGAGGTTCCTCACTCAATCCACACATGTCTCAAACACAGCAGCACAATTAGGTGAAATTCAAGGTCTGTGATAAAGCTGTAGCCCAGGAACCAAAGGCAATAAAGCTCTAAATGAATTTCCCTTACTGCCAAATCACAGTGCCCTGCAGCTAAAAGAAAACGGATTTCATTGCAGTCTCTGAATGAAACCAACCAAAAGCAAAAATGAGAAAATTCAAAATGTCCAGGGTGCATCCAAATGTACCAAATTTAAATTAGTCCTGGGAGTTACCTTCATATTCATGAAATCAAACCTGTGAAGTCATTCTCTTCAGCTTTAAAAATGCAGGAAAAAAATTAAATTCTCATTCACTCATGTATTATGTGACAATCCTGAAATGAGATGGAGTTATTCACTCCATTTGCCTTCATCAAAATACCTGTTAGACTTCATGAAGTAAGAAAAACTTATAAAGGGTATTTTCATATTTTAATGAGGATTACTATGATGATCATTCTATGAACATTCAAAAATTAAAGTTCTCTACATCTTTAATGAAATGAAATTTGTCATGACAAATCTTAGAGAAACAGGAAAAAAAATTCAGCTTTAATCACCTAATTTCCAAAAACAGAATGAAAGAACATTTTGGTTAAAAAGAAATGAGATTCCCCCTGCTAATCTCTTATTTTTCAGGATGGTTCTAGCTATTCGTGGT